ATAAGGAGACATAGCAACCAATTGCTATGTGTGATTCTAAACTGGATCCATCAGCATTATTGGGACGTTATTGGAACAGCTGGGGAAACCTGAACTGGGTTTGAGGATTTTGATGGTTGACTAAGTGAATGCTCTTGTTTACAGGAACTAAACCAACAGTAGTCAGGGGTGATGAGGTGTTATATCGGCAACTTACTTTCAAACTGTTTAGGAAAAGTTCTTCAGATGGTACTGGCAACTTGTCTATAAGCTTCAGATTGTTAAAAGTAAAATGTATCGAAAGTTTTACTTCTTTCTTACCAATTTGGATGCCTTTTATTTCTTTTGTCTGATTGCTGCACCTAGGACTTCCAGCACTATGTTGAATGAAGATGGTAAGAATGGACATCCTTGTCTTGTTCTTGATCTTAGAGGAGAAGCTCTCAGTTTTTCATCATTGAGTATGATGTTAGTTGTGGGTTTTGCATATATGGCCTTTATTATGTTGATGTATATTCACTTTAAATCCACTTTGTTGGGGGTTTTTATCATGAATGGATGTTGTACTTTTCCCAGTGCTTTTTCTACATCTATTGGAATGATCATGAGGTTTTTACCCTTTCTTTTGTTGATGTGATGTATCATGTTGGCTGATTTGCAAATATTAAACTACCTATGCATCCCTGCAATAAATTCCACAGATCATGGAGAATGTTTTTTAATGTATTGTTGGGTTCTGTTTGCTAATATTTTGTTGGGAGACTTTTGCATCTATGTTCATCAGAGATACTGGCCTATAGTTTTCTTCTGTTGTAGTGTCTTTGTCTGGTTTTGGTATCAGGGTAATGCTGGCCTCATAGGATGAATTTGGAAGCTTTCCTTCCCCTTCTATTTTCTGGAATAGTTTGAGAAGAACAGACATGAACACTTTTTAAAATGTTAGGTAGAATTCATCTCTGAAACCATCTGGTCCTGGACTTTGTTTATTGGGAGTTTTTAATTACTGAGTCCATTTCATTACTCATAATCAGTCTATTCAGATTTTCTATTTCTTTTCCTGACTCAGTTTTGAAAGGTTATACGTGTCTAGGAATTTATCCACTTCTAGGTTGTCCAATTTGTTGACATAAAATTTTTCACAATATTCTCTTATAATCCTTTGTACTTCTGTGGTGCTGGTCATTACATCTCTTCCTTCATTTCTGATTTTGTTTATCTGAGTCCTCTCTCTTTTTTTTTTTTTTAAGATTTTATTTATTTGACAGAGAGAGATAGTGAGAGCAGGAACACAAGCAGGGGGAGTGGGAGAGGGAGAAGCAGGCTTCCCGCTGAGCAGGGAGCCCGATGCGGGGCTCGATCCCAGGACCTTGGGACCATGACCTGAGCCGAAGGCAGACGCTTAATGACTGAGCCACCCAGGTGCCCCTCTCTTTTTTTTCTTGAGCAGTCTGGTGAAAGGTTTATCAATTTTGTTTATCCTTGCAAAGAACCAGCTCTTATTAATTAATTGAATTTAAATAATAAAAAAAAGAATCAGCTCCTGGTTTCATGGATCTTTTCTATTGCTGGTGGCTTTTTTTGGTCTCAATTTCATTTATTTCTGCTGTAATCTTTATTATTTCCTTCCTTCTACATGACATGATACTATATATAGAAAAACCAAAAGACTTCACCTAAAAAGTACTGGAACAAGTAAATGAATTCAGTAAGGTCACAGGATACAAAATTAATACAGAAATCTGTTGCATTTCTATACACTAATGAAATAGCAGAAAAAAAATTAAAAACAATCCCATTTACAGTTGCATAAAAAAGAATAAAATTCCTAGGAATAAACCAAGGAGGTGAAAGACCAAAGAAATTGACGATGACACAAACAAATAGAAAGATATTCCATGCTCATGGATTGGAAGAACCAATATTGTTAAAATGTCCATACTACCTAAAGCAATCTACAGATTTAATGCAATCACTATCAGAATACCAACAACATTTTTCACAGAACTGGAACAAATAATCCTAAAATTTGTATAGAACCACAAAAGACACCAAACAGCCAAAACAAAACTAGAGGTATCACAATACTAGATTTCAAGATATATTATATAGCTATAGCATGCAAACAGTATGATACTGGCACAAAAATAGACACATAGATCAAGGGAACAGAATAGAGTCCAGAAATAAATCCATGCTTATATGGTCAATTAATCTATGACAAAGGAGAGAAGACTATACAATAGGGAAAAGACAGACTCTTCAACAAATGGTGTTGGGAAAACTGGACAGCAACATGCAAAAGAATGAACCTGGACCACTTTCTTACACTGCACACAAAAATAAACACAAAATGGATTAAAGACCTAAATGTGATACCTGAAACTATAAAACTCCTAGAAGAAAACATAGGCAGTAGTTTCTTTGACATCGGCCATAGAAGCATTTTTCTAGATATGTCTCCTCAGATGGAGGAAACAAAACAAAGTTAAACTATTGGGACTATGCTAAAATAAAAAGCTTTTGCACAGTGTAGGAAACCATCAATAAAATGACAAGGCAACCTACTGAATGGGAGAAGATATTTGCAAATGATATATCTGATAAGGGGTTAATATCCAAAGTATACAAAGAACTTATACAACTCAACATCAAAAAAAACAAATAATCTGATTTAAAAATGGGCAGAAGACTTGAACAGACATTTCACCAAAGAAGACATACAGATGGCCAACAAACACATGAAAAAATGCTCAACATCACTGATCATCAGGGAAATGCAAATCAAAACACAAAGAGATATCACCTCACACCTGTCAGAATGGCTAAAATCAAATACACAAGAAACAACAAGTTTTGGAACCCTCGCGCACTATTGGTAGGAATGCAAATTGGTATAGCCACAGTGGAAAACAGTATGGATTTCCTTAAAAAATTAAAAATAGAATTACCATATGATACAGTAATACCACTACTGGGTATTTACCCAAAGAAAATGAAAACACTAATTTAAAAAGATATATGCATCCCTATGTTTATTGCATTATTTACAATAACCGAAATGTGGAAACAACCCAAGTGTCCATCATTAGATGAATGGATAAAGAAGTAGTATATATACAATGGGATATTACTCAGCCATTAAAAAAGAACGAGATCTTGACAACATGGATAGACTTAGGAAGTATGATGCTAAGTAAAGTAAGTTAGGGAAATACAAATACCACTGTGATTTTACTCATATGTGGAATGTAAGAAACAAAGCAAATGAACAAGCAAAGAAAAAAAAAAGGCAAACAAAAAAACAGACTTTTAAATACAGAAAACAAACTGGTGGTTGCCAGAGGAGAGGTGGGTGGAGGGATGGGTGAAATAGATAAAGCGGATGAAAAGCACACTTATTGTGACAAGCACTAAGTAATGACCGTTGAATCATTATATTGTACACCTGAAACTAATATAACACTGTATGTTAATTACATTTCAGTAAAAAAATAAGTAACAAAAAAAGTATATGCTGAATAAGATATAACGGATCATTTAAAGCAAAAATAATAAATTACATTGCAGGGTTTATAAACACCTAGGAATATAATGCATGGCAACAATAGCATGAGGCACAGGAGAAAGAAAATGAAAGCGTACTCTTACTAGGTTTTTACCTTATATGTAAAGTGGTAGAAAATTATGTGAAGGTGTAATCTGTGATAAATTGTAAAAGCATTATTATAAACCCTAGAGCAGCCACTGATAAAGTAAACAAACATTAGCAGTGAACAGTATAGGAATTCAAAGACAAAAAACAGCTGTATTGGTGTAAGAAAGAGTGTGATATGGCTTAGAAAAACAACTAAGTGGGGCGCCTGCGTGGCTCAGTGGGTTAAGCGTCTGCCTTCGCCTCAGGTCATGATCCCAGGGTCCTGGAATCCAGTCCTACCTCGGGCTCCCTGCTCAGCAGGAAGCCTGCTTCTCCCTCTCCTGCTCACCCTGCTTGTGCTCTCTCTCTTTCTTTCTCTCTCTGTCAAATAAATAAAAATCCTTATTAAAAAAAAAAAAAGAAAAACAACTAAGAATAACATATTAATATGACACAAAAAGAAATAATTAGGGCAAGAGTGCTAGACTTTGTTACATAGAGCTCTAAAATTTCTCTCATTGAAAGACTGTACAGACAAAACTGAAAGCAAACATCAAGTGTAGAAGGGAAATTTCTGATATATTCCAGGCAAAGAGTTGATATTACCAATATACAAAGAGTTATTACAAACCAGTAAGCAAATTATAGGAATTCCAATTTAAAAATGAACAAAATATGATAGACAATTTATAAAGAGGAAATTATGGGTGAAAATATCCTTATCCTAACTCCATGCTATACATGGAGTGCAGGATTAGATATAGACACATAGATACCTTGTTCCCAAATATAACTTGAGCTTAATTCTGTACATTTAGTGGCGTGTATTTAATACATGGGATTTTATAATGTGAAGCCGCCATCAATCAGAATAAGGTGATATTTTACAGCGCTTCTACCATTTATCAGGCAGTCTCACAAAGAAGTTACTTATCCATCAAAAGAGAATATAACCAGTAGTTGGAATTATGGTTTATCTTTCAGAGATCAATTCAATGAATTGTAAGCTGTAACTACATGATTCTTTTTATGAATTCACGATCTAAGGAAAAAAGATAGTATAAATATTTTATCTAACTGAAAGTTTCAATAACACAAGCCCATTTAAATCCCAGAGTGGAGGCATTATGTGAAGCTTAAAAGATTAGGGATTAAAGATGAAAAAGTAAGTGCTTCAGCATCTGAAACCCGTTCCACCTTAAATGACAACGTATGCTTTAAGGAGGAATGTTTTCCTTCCCTTCTTATTTCCTACAGCTTTACTTTCTCCACTTTTGATTGCTAGATTCATCTTCTAGCCATCCAAAAGGATGACCTCTAAAAACATGAGTTGAACCCAAAGCTAGTTGTAAAAAAACATGTTTCTTTGAAATAGGATTTCCATCATTCACCTAAGGTTTATAAAACCACTCTTTAAATAAACACTGTGAAAATGACTAGTTACGATACATGAATTCATACGAACCCGTGAGATCACCCTTTCGGGTAAAAGTGAAATGTCACATTCAGGAATCTCGCCTGCAAGAGAGGTTTCAGACGCACTTTGTTCAGGAAAAATGGATTCTTCTTTAGCAACTACTTTGAGTTTTAACTTGTTTCTCCATTTCAGTAACTGAAGTTCATGTTTTAACATCTGCCATGAAAATAATTGACAAATTCCATGTCATTGTCTTAAAGGTTAAATGAGATAATATGTATATAGCTCAGTGCTCAACACCATGATAGCACCAAATAAACATTCTTCATTATTGTTATCCCTGCTACATGAACAATCTTTGTCCATAGCATGGTTAATACTCTCTAGACCACCAGAGCATTAGAGATCATTTCCGTCTGTTGTCAGACATCAACGGCTTAGGCAGCAACCTCGAAGGTGTGGTCCAACCTCCTCCTTTCGATGAGGAAGCTGAAACCCACAGAGTCAAGGCTCTGGTAATGAGTGAACTGATATTTGGGCCATGGAAAGGAGGTGGTTAGCACAGAGATAAAAAAGGAGAGTTAGAGGAAAGCATTTGGGGTCTTGCCTGATTTATTGTTATAAAATGTCCCCATTTTAACTTTGAATACATTCTTTTTAAAACTGCATAATCGAGAAAAAGCCATAAGGGTAAATAAGTGTTACACACACACACACACACACACACACACACACACACGAGCCTAAGAAAGGGTACACATTGGAGAAGTAGCACCCAGAAGTGTTCCCTGCTTTCTCCGCCCGGCACACAGCTGCCTTGCTCACTTCACCCACTTAAGTGAGTGATGGTTAGGCCAAGAAATCACATAGCTAGAAGAAAATGTTTTCTCTAAACACCCAATTAACTATGGAATATACATCTATATTAAGGATAATACTATATTATGTATAATATACATTGTTATATATTTTAATATCTATCAACTACTGCATGCAAAACATCATGCCCAGTGTATGGGGATGATTAAGAGAACAATACTGCCTCAGGGATGTTCAGTTCAAGAGGGGTGTGAAAGGGGCAGACTAGTCATGTACGGTTACTTATTTTGCCATTAGACAATCACTGATCAGACGCCGGGGGAGCCAGGGTCAAAATGCTAGCTTAGTGCACAGTGTTCGAAAACACCGAACAGGGGCGCCTGGGTGGCTCAGTCGGCGAAGCAGCTGACTCTTGATTTTGGCTCAGGTCATGATTTCAGGGTCTTGAGATCAAGCCCCGCATCAGGCTCCCTGCTCAGTGCGGAGTCTGCTTGAGATTCTTTCTCTCCCTCTCCCTCTGTCCATCCCGCCCCCCCGCAATGTTCTCGTTCTCTCTCTCTCTCTCTCTCTCAAATAAATAAATAAATCTTGAAAGAAAGAAAGAACACTGAACAAGCAGACTAAAACAGTGGTCCCTAAAGTATAACTGGTGGACCAGCAACACTGAACATGTACTCCATAAATGCTGGAGGACATCCTCTAAGAACACCGATTCAATACCAGTAGGTGCTTGATGAATCTCAGTGTCCTCTGCAGACTCTAGCACTGTTTCCAGCATAGATCTTTGCATACTCTCTTGGTATGTATATGGTATCACCAATCTCAACATCTGAACCAGGTAACGATGGGAGGGCGTTGATCCTGCCCTTGATGAGACGACTACTAAACAGGGAGTTTAATTTCTTATTTTTCTGTTTCTTATTTACCCCGACTTTATATTTCAAGACCATTGATAAAACATTACCTACGAAGTAATATAACTTAAAAAATTCCATTTTTCGATGTCTGATCCTAGTAGTTACTGTGAGTATTCTAAAACAACATTAAGCAATAATGTACTAATAGCTTAAGCAAACTAGAGATATTTTTAAGTTTGGAGGAATTTGCTTGGGCCCTCTGTTTTAATTGCTTTAATTAAAGTGTCACATCCGGGCGCCTGGGTGGCTCAGTCGTTAAGCGTCTGCCTTCGGCTCAGGTCATGATCCCAGGGTCCTGGGATCGAGTCCCACATCAGGCTCCCTGCTCAGCGGGAAGCCTGCTTCTCCCTCTCCCACTCCCCCTGCTTGTGTTCCTGTTCTCACTGTCTCTCTCTGTCATATAAATAAATAAAATCTTTAAAAAAAAAAAAAAGTGTCACATCCTTTAAGTTTAGCAATTTAGTAATTTTTTAAATAATTTATATTAAAATTAAAATGTATTACATTGAATGTTGAAAAAAGAATAATAATCTTATCTAGAAAAGAAAAATTTATTCAGTCTTTATCATATCAAATAGTTTCTTTTCCATTTGAGATATCTATATCCATCTAAACACTTGCTTAAACAAAATTCTTCATTTTTATCAATAATTTTAAACAAAATGCTGAAATGATTTTTCCTCAATGTTCACAGTTGAAATGAAACAACAGAATTTATTAGAAAATATTTTTGGTAGCTGAAGTATAATTTAAATTATTAAATTAAAAGAATAAAGACCCCATCAAAAGTATATAATATTGGGGCACTGGGGGGATTCAGTAGGTTAAGCATCTGACTTCAGCTCAGGTCATGGTCTCAGGGTCCTGGGATCGAGCCCCACGATCGAGCCCTACCTCCAGCTCCCCACTCAGCAGGGAGTCTGCTTGTCCCTCTCCCTCTCACTCTGTCCCTCCTCCCCACTCAGGCACATGCACGCACTCTCAAATAAATAAGCAAAATCTTTTTTTAAAAAAGTACATAATATTCAGTATTTTAGTACTTTCCACACATAGCATTATTATCTGAGGCAACATCAATATAAGGACAAAATTTAGTTTCTAAAAAAATTAAGTTTCCAAGATACCATACCAGCTCATCTTCTCTCTTTTTATACTTATGTCTTGCTTTATCCCTCCATTTAGTTAGGATAGCTATTAGCTTGTAACGGCGGCACATCTTTTGCATCCGCAATAGTATATCTAAAGAAAATTTATTAGATTAGTGTGTATATATAAAGATGTTTCCAAAAAAACAAAGTATTTAATATTCTATCATGTTTATAATATGAACCAATATTGCATCTGGCAGTTTTTGTTTGATTTTAATTACATCTAAAATTAATTACTTTTTTTTTTTTTTAAAGATTTTATTTATTTATTCATGAGAGACAGAGAGAGAGAGAGGCAGAGGGAGAAGCAGGCTCCCAAGGAGCAGGAAGCCCGATGCGGGACTCGATCCCAGGACCCTGAGATCATGACCTGAGCCGAAGGCAGACGCTCAACCATCTGAGCCACCCAGGCGCCCTAAAATTAATTACTTTTGACAGCAGTAGATCTTTACTCCGGAAACTTTATTAACCTGTAAATATCACCTTTGCTCTTGGAAATTAAGATGTAGGGGTGCCTGGGTGGCTCAGCCTGTTAAGCGTCTGTCTTCGGCTCAGGTCATGATCCCAGGGTCCTGGGATCAAGCCCCGCACTGGGCTCCCAGCAAGGAGCCTGTTTCTCCCTCTCCCTCTGTCCTTCCCCCTGCTCATGCTCACTCTCTCTCTCTCTTTCAAATAAGTAAATAAAATCTTTTTAAAAATTAAAAAATATATATTAAGATGTAATAGATGTAATAACACGTCAATATATATATGACATCATTTTTTTAAAATCAAACCAGTTCTTTATAAAACCAGAACTTCCAAACTTATTCATAGAAATACAATTATAAGGTAGTATTCTGGTTTAGTTAAATGCCCTATGATTAAATAAATTGCTCCATTTTATGTTTTAACTAAGGGTCCAAAGCTCAAATACAGGGGCCAGGCCAGGAAGGAGGATGACTATGGCAGGCCCTGGGGACACCGCTTAAGAGGGCATTGGCTTCGTAGCTGAAGCTAATTGTTTCCTCTCAGAATTAGAGGCCCATCAATCTTATGTTAAAACCCTCAGAGGGCACCTTGGTGGTTCAGTCAGTTAAGCATCCAACTCTTGAGTACCGCTCAGGTCGTGATCTCAGGGTCAGGAGATGGAGCCCCGCCTCGGGCGCATGCTGGGCGTGGAATCTGCTTAAGATTTTCTCTCTCCCTCTCCCTCTGCCCCTCCTCCCCATGCTCCCATGTGTGCACTCTCTCTTGCTCTCTCTCCCTCCCTAAAAAAAAAAAAAAACCCTCAGAGGGCTCACTGTGACTGAGGTACCAGGAGTAACTGATCAAGAAGAAATGATTCTCTGATTTGCAGTAGCCATAAACCAATATTCGGTAAGTGGCTAAAATCTGAGCAAAAGGCTGGAGTTCCCTATTCCTGCTCCGAAGATCATGTACGTGCCCTGTCTACTCATTACAACTACCAAGGGTTTAAGGAAAGGAAAATTCATTTTCTTTGTTTCCTCATGTATCCATTAAATGAAATATCTGTAAAGAATGGAAAACTCTCTACAAGAAATAGTCAATTTTGGTACCTGTGGTATACCAGCTCTCTATGAGTAAAAATGATGATAGTAGATCCCTATTTATATTTATATTTGTACATACATCACACAGATCCCCACAGGATTTTATTTCAAACATGCCTGTTTTCTGTTACAATAAAACCCTTTGAGACAAATCTCATTCAAATGTAAGACATTTAATTAGTGGCTTTACATTTCATGACAGTTTTCTAGACATCATGATAAATTCTCTAGTACCAACTGATGAATTGTTAAGTGTGTTGATTCTTTGAATAAATGAATACAAAAATTAACCGCTACTATGTTAGGATTTACCTGGAAGTTGTTTTTTTTGACCTTCTGTATAAGAGTGCCAGAGACGAAATATGTATTTTTGAAGTCTGAAATTGTCATATTCCATTGCTTTTTCCATCTTTTCAGCCAGAAGTTCATCTTCATTTATAAGAGGTATCGCTATGTCTCTCCAAGTGCTATAGGCAGAAGATACAGAAAAATAGTATTTTGACGTTATGGCAACACATTACTAATAAATGGAGAGGGAGAAGGAGTAATAATACCTCCTTTATCTCCTCAAAATTCACAGCATAGAAAGAAATTGTTCAATTATTGTTATTGTTTTATTTCTAGCTAGTCCTGTGTTTCCTTTGAGCTTGTACTTCCCTTTGCTACATTTCTAAAACCCAGTAAAGATCTGAAATTCAGAAGTTTTTTCATAACCTATATAGAGGCTAATAGTTTAGTAAAGTAATTTTGCCTCGGGGCACCTGGATGGCCCAGTTGGTTGCGCATCCCACTCTAGATTTTGGCTCAAGTCTTGATCTTGGGGTCCTGGGATCAAGCCCCACAACAGGCTCTACACTGAGCGCAGATTCTCTCTCTCCCTCTCCCCCTGCCCCTTCTTCCTCCCCCCCTCCCAATCTCTCTCTCTCTCTAAAATAAATAAGTAAATCTTAAAAATAAATAAATAAATATTTAAAAACTAAAGTAATTTTGCATCAAAACCTCCCTAGACTTGACACATAGCTATTCATAGTCTTTTTAAAATTTCATTTCATATACATTTCATTTCATTTTATATACATATATATAATATATAGAGAGAAATACTAATATGTTTGAATATGTTTGGTTCCAACATGCTGCCCCAGACACCACTGAAGATGTTCTATAATACACAGAATGTGCAGAAATTACCTTTGTAAAATTTTTTAAGAAAAAGAATCTAAATTTCAAAACATATCTCCAAGGGTTTCAGTGAAGGGATTATAGACGTACACTTTCAAAAAAAGCAATACCTTGAAGAAGTAAAGAACATATTTTAACTAAGTAAAAGCCAAATAAAAATAAAAGAAATATATAATGCAAAATGGTGGAGACATGATTAAATAGATAAAATCAGAATGACTGGCCAAAAATGAGTTGTTCTTCCTATGGAGAATATTAAGAATAAAAACACAAAGAAATAGGATGTAAAATCACATTCTTACCAAAAATGGGTCTTTACTAAATGTCCGGTATAAAAAGTACATGCTTTTATCATCAATTCTGGAGACATCTAAAGTAAATAAATAAATGAAATAGCACACATTAGAAGAAAGTGGAATGCAAAGGCTAACTCCAGAAGATGCAGAGGAAAATGAGAGCAATGATTACCTTGGGCAGTAGGGAGACAGGAGCAGATTAGAAGAACTACATGCCAATTATGTATTTTGTAACTTTATTGTGTATGTCCGTTACCAATTTTTCAAAAGTTAAAATCGCACCTTAAAATTTTCTCATTGTATTGTATTTACTTTAAAGCATTTTAAGTAAGTTCTATGGTATTATTATTATTGTCAGTTGTATTGATAGGAGTACAGAGTTGTGGGTCTGCTGGTCACCATTAAACTGAATGATTTTGCCTTCTCAAGAGTATAAAATGAAATTTTCTTTAAAAAAAAGAAAAAAATGCTTACAGGAATGCCTCACCAAGAAGTAATAGGAAAGCCACATAAATTAAAATTTTGTAATATGCTGAAAGAGATGCAAATTTATCTATCACTTGCAACTATTCACAATAACATACATTAACATGTGGGAACAGCTAACTGAGCATTACCTTCTGTACATTCTTTAATGAGTAAAAATAATGTCACATTACACATTTGTTATATGTACATGGTACTGTGAAGTACTAATGGTGTTATTTTTTCTCATGTTTTCACTACCCTGTTTGCCATATAAATAAACATGTGGCCAAACATCTGTTTGGTTCAAATCTCTACCAACTGCCAGAATTCTGAATTCCACTTTTCACAGACAAATGTTTTTCTCCTTTGCACATTGCTGTAAATGCTTTGTTGAGGTCATAGATACAACATACACATGTTAATCATGGAGTTATTTAAGGCATACAACAGAGGCCGCCTGATGTTCAATGACATTTGGAAATACTCAGCTTGATGGAGATTATATGTAAATTATGCTTGTGGTGAGGGAGAACATAAATCACTGAAGTCAGTTTTTACTAAATTCTGATTTTCATAAGGGAAAGGAATGCAGATGAACAAAGTAAGAGTATTGGGGATATCACAGCAGGGTGGATAAAACCAGGAAAGGAGGGGCGCCTGGGTGGCTCAGTCATTAAGCATCTGCCTTCAGCTCAGGTCATGATCCCAGAGTCCTGGGATCGATCCCTGCATCAGGCTCCCTGCTCTGTGAGAAGCCTGCTTCTCCCCCTCCCACTCCCCCTGCTTGTGTTCCCTCTCTAGCTGTGTCTCTCTCCGTCAAATAAATAAATAAATTCTTAAAAAAAAAAAACAAAACAGGAAAGGAATGAAGTGGCAGAAGTAAGGACAAATTTCATCTACAATACAATTTTCCTGCTCTGCCATTAGCCCCTAAATTTCCTAAGATTAAACTTTTTTTAGAAGATACAACCTGGAAAGTACTATATAAATATCTACAATAATATGGCATAGTTCATTAAAAAATGAGCATATTACAGATCAAATGAATGAAAACAAAAATTATAATTCAGCTGGTAACTCTTGAACTCGAGTTTTCTAATAATCAACTCTTTAAATCAACATAAAACTGTTCTTTCTATTCTAGAAAGAAGTTTCAGTCCTCATCAATCCATGATTTATATGCTGGAAGAGTTTCTCATTCTAATATTCCTTTTTTTTTTAAGAGTTCCTTTCCCTAAATTCTTATTTTAATTTCACATATATTGTTCTCCCGATTAAACAAAAAAAAATAAAATACTGATAGAATGAAAATAGCCATGATTTTTCCTCATTGTTGGCATCCTCTTGTTTTCTCCACAGGGAAAATAGCTTTAAGAGAGTGTCACTGGGGGGCGCCTGGGTGGCTCAGTCGGTTAAGCGTCTGCTTTCCGCTCAGGTCACGATCCCAGGGTCCCAGGATTGAGCCTCTCATCGGGCTCCCTGCTGAGCGGGGAGTCTGCTTCTCCCTCTCCCTCTGCCTGCCACTCCCCCTGCTTGTTCTCTCTCTCTCTCTGTCAAATAAATAAATAAAATCTTAAGAAAAAAAACCGAGAGTTCACTGGGGCACTGACCTGCAGCCAAGGCTCAAGCCGAGTAAAGCCCCATCCCCCACTTGGGGCTATGCCTGTGTCCACACAACTGAGGCTCAGCAGCCCCTCTGGCTGGTCTAACCATCAGACACATGCCAGTACACTCAGTCACACGGTTCTGCTTCCACTGCTCAACGTCTCCACTGTTGCTCCAGCAACTTGCTTTCTACTCTTTGGGG